TTACAAGCATGAAAGGCTGTGGTCTTTGTCCTGTCAAGTGTATGTTAAAGTTGCTTACAGCCACAAGAGACTCAGCCTGTCTTGGTCTAGATGCTTCAGAGCTTATATTTCAATTTGTAAAGAAAGGGATGATATTTTAAAATGTCATTTCATCTTCTAGGATTTGTCTTTGATCCCTTTCTCACTCTTTCTGATCTCAAGGGAAGTAAAGCTTACAAGTAATTTTAATGACCAGATTTCCGTGTGTGTGTGTGTGTGTGTGTGTGTGTGTGTGTTGTGTTTTCTCTCCCCAGAGGTATTTTAGGATCCTTAATTTGGAGGTAGGGTAGGAAAGTATGTTTTTTGTTTTCCATATTCAGATTATTTCCCTTTTAAAGGGAGACAACACATGCTTCTCTTGGAACTCTCTTGAGCTATTTTTATTCTCTTTAGATTGTTTCTTTTCACAAGAAGAACATAACAAGGAGAAGAGGCTATTTCCTAAGCCTCTAAGGCTAAATATGCTTAGGTGCCCTTACCAGCAGTAGATCTTACAAGAAGGTGCGCGATGTGAGAGAGGTCAGCTGCTGTTGTGGTCCAGACTCGTTTTCCATGTGGTCTTCTGCCCAGTTCCCGCACATTTCTGATCAGCTCGTTTAGGCTTGTCCTCATGGCAGAGCCAGCCTGAGTGCTGTTCTCAGTTCTCTTCCTGTCCCGTCTGTGCTTGTGAAGAATATGTACCCCTGCACCCCTTTTCAGGGCTTCCCAGGATTCTCTTCAGGAGTCACCCACAACTCAAGCTGAGGAAATGTATTTGTTTCCAGTCCTACTCTCAGAGTATCAGATGGGATTGCTCTTAGCAGCGTGTGACTGATTGTTCAGGCTTCTGTTGTCATCAGCTTTCAGAGAAATCTTTTAACAGAAATAAATGTGAAAACATGAGTGAATAGTGCTTTTGGGGTCTTGGCACATTCAGATATTGTACTTACTATTTAACTTTCAAAGACTTTTAATCAAACCTTTAGTTCAATTCAGCTGATATCTATTGCACAGGTATTGTTGCCAGCCCTATTTCTGTGACACAGAGCCACAACAAAACATTGTGATGCATATTTATTTATGTGCTTCTTTTTTTTGTAGTGTCCATTTGTACTATTTGTTTCCTAGTCTGGAAGAAGGAGGATTAGCGACTATCGAACTGCCATCGTTCAGAATCGCACCTTGCCATGCTAGCAAAGGTACATGTGAGAAAGGGATCAAAGACAAATCCTAGAAGATGAAATGACATTTTAAAATATCATCCCTTTCTTTACAAATTGAATATAAGCTCTGAAGCATCTAGACCAAGACAGGCTGATCTCTTGTGGCTGTAAGCAACTTTAACATACACTTGACAGGACAAAGACACCAGCCTTTCATCTTGTAATCTCGCTCATTATAGCATCAGTGAGTGCAAGCTGTCAGGGCAAGAGCCCTGTGGCTTTTAAGCTCCACAAAAGAGACAAAATACGTGGAGTTTCAATGCCTTATTTGGCTAATTACAAAGAAAGTAGTGTAATAAGTATGTTACCTATAAAATGTAATTATTGGAGAACTGTAAAAAAGAACTGTAAAATTACCTGGTCAGAAATTCAACAACAGCATCACCCAGGAACTCCAGCCGTTCATTGTGGTTAATCCTAGAGTAAGAATGAAAAAGATTACTTAAAATAGCATATTTACACCCCCTCCTAAAAAATGGACACATGAGGTTTAGCTCCTTTAGTAATCAAAACACTTTACCTATTCCTCTTAATTAAAAGCACTAACCAGCATCTTAGCCCAGAGGTTATCTGGGGCCTGCCTAATGGGAAAGGACAGGGGTGGGGAGGGGGCATTCTTCATTCCATGTGGTTCAGGCTTACTACCAGCGGGTTTCTTTCCCCTGGGAACTACACTCAAAGCACCCAGAAAGTCAAGGTGATATACTGGTAATAACTGTGAATACTTCCATTCTACTATCAGGTATACAACAGAAAGGAGAATGCATTCTAGTAAAAGTTAGAACTGACCACTGAAAAATCAGTTTTGACACAATCCTCTATTGATACAATCTTCCAAAGATAGCTTCTCATCATCCAAACTCTAAACCCAACCCAGCATCTAAAGTCCTTCAAAATAGGCCTAACCTACCTCTTCAGCCTCATTACCCACTATTATCCTCTCCCACTTATACATCAGGCTCCTGCTACAAAACTGCCTAGTACTCTCCCAAAGAGGAATCCCCCAAACCACTCGATGCTGCTGTTCAGGCCAAGCTCTCTGCCACCCTGGAGCTTTCCACTCTTCCTCCTGTACACTGAGCCACACTGAAAATCTATCCATCCCTCAAGGCCTAGTGAAAATGGTGTCTTCTTTATCATGTCCTGCCTGACTGATGTCGCTCATTAAAATCAACACTTCCCCACCTTAGTGCACAGACCACACTTCATTTGCATCTTCACATCTCACAGGCTGTTAGTTTCTCAAGCCTTAAGTATAAAGCTGAAACGACCAGGAAGGTAGCCCATGGAAAACTTCCTCCTGCCTCTTGGTAAGTCGGATGGAGCCCCTTCTCTCAGTGCTAAAGTGCTTCTCTCAGTCTCTTAGGCTGGGCAGAGACGTGACATGAAGTGATTTAGGTTTTCAAAAGGCCACTCTGGCTGCTGTGCGGAGAATAAGTGCAGGAAAGAGAAGCTCTGAGGGGGTAGTTCAGGAGTTCCAAGTAGAATTACCCATGTGAGTGGCTTAAGCTGGGGAGGTCATGGTGGAAGAGGAGGAGAAACAGTCAGATTTGGGATATATTTTGGAGACACAGCTGAAAAGAACTGTTGATAGTTGGGATTTGGAAGCTAAGTCAAAGAAAAGAATGAAGGGCAATGCCTAGACTTTAGCTTAAGTAGCTGATGAAAAGCAATGCCATATACTACGGAGGGGAGGAGAGGACCACAAAAGGAGCAGGTTTGGGGGAGGCTAAGGGGGTACATTTTAGACATGTTAACATTGAAATGCCCATCAAACATCCAAACAGAGAGATGTAGTAGAGTGCTGGCTATATTAACCCACTACTCATGGACAAGGACAAAGTTGGTAATAAATCTTTATAGATAGTTAATGTTTACATGAGATTACAGGTGATAAACTAGATGATACAACTAGGGGAGTGGATGTAGCCAAAGAAAAGGGGTTCCAGGACTGAGCCCAAGAGAGTGTCAAGGTTGAGAGGTCAAGCAGAAGGGAAGCCAGCAGAGGAGAAGATCTGGCCAGGAAGGCATGAGGAAAAGGCCATGTATTATCCTCTAGCCAAAGAAAAGAACGTGTTTCAAGAAAGAAGTGGTAATCTGGGTGAGGTGGCACAGGCTCATAATCCTAGTATTCTGGGAGGCCAAGGTCAAAGGATCACTTAAGGCCAGGAGTCTGGGACCAGTCTGGGCAACACAGCAAGACTATGTCTCTATAAAAAATTAGAAATATTAGCTGAGCATAGTGGTAGGCACCTGTAGTCCCAGCTACTTAGGAGGCTGAGGCAGGAAGATTGTTTGAACCCAAGAGTTTGAGGTTGCTGTGAGCTATGATGAAGCCACTGTACTCTTACCTGGGCAACAGAGCAAGACCCTGTCTCCAAAAAGGAAAACAAAAGAATAAAAAGAAGTAAGTGCCTAATGTTGCTTAGGTTCGAGTTAAATGAGAACAGATCATTGATTTGGTCCAGTGAAAGTCACTAAGGCCCTGATGGGCAATCTGTGAAGTGGTGGAAAGAAACCTGATTCTGACTAGAGTAGGCTGGTGAAATAATAAGTTATCTGAAATTGTATAGTTGTCCCACAATTTCGCTTTCAATGCTTGCAGTTACCCCTGGTCAACTGTAGCCCGAAGATATTAAATGGAAAATTCCAGAAATGAACAATTCATAAGTTTTAAATTGCAAGCTATTTATAAGTTTTAAATTGCAAGCCATTCTTTGTAGCATGATGGAATCTTATGTTGTCTCATCTGGGACATGACCATCTGGGTTATCAGGTCAACTGTTGTGGTACCACAGTGCTTGTGTTCAAGTCACTCTTATTTTACTTAATAACAGCCCCAAAGTACAAGAGTAGTGATGCTGGCATACAGTTATTATTGTTGTCGTTAATCTCTTACTATGCCTAATTTATAAATTAAACTTCACCATAGGCATGTATGTGTAAGAGAAACATGGTGTATGTGTAAGAGAAACATGCACAGAGTTGGGTACCATCCTCGGTCTCAGGCACCCGTTGGGGTCTTGGAAGGCATCCCCTGTGGATAAAGGGGACCTGCTTTATATGAAAAGAACCTGAGGGTCTGTTTCAGGGCTAGCTGCTGAAAGAGAAAATATGGGGCTGAGGGATGTACAGGGGGAGGAAAACTGAAGTGATGGTGACAGCCTGGGGCAGGGAAGGAAGTTACACTAAGCCTCTAGGGCCTGAGCAAAGACGGCAAGGGACAGGCCTGGCCTGAATAGAAGCTGGTCTTGCTGACTCCAGGGGCTTCCTTAAATATTTCTCACACTGACCCACATCTTCTCAAAAAACTGAACAGCTGACTGTCAAGTCTAAACTTGTCAGCCTTTCAAGGCCATTCTGTATCTTGTTCCAACATAGCCACCCCTTTTCTTGACTTTCAACAGCAACTTCCAACACCAAGTTGACCAACCTCTGCACTATACCATAAACATACCATCCCATCTCCCTTCCCTGCTACATCTCCCAAATCCCACTCGTTCTCACAGTCAGCTGGGAAGCCCATCCTAAATACTGGAGCTCCCAGGGGTGCTGGCTAGCTCCCACCACCCCAGTCCACTCCCACAAGACTTCAACATGTGTCACTCAATTTACAACAAATAGTATCTTTTATTGTTCTGTTTTGTGTGTGCCAGTGCCATGTTCCAAAATCTGAAACTTTTTGAGTGCTAACATGATATTGCTAGCAGAAAATTCCATATCTAGCCTTGTGACAGGTTGTAGTCAAAACTTTGTTTTATGCACAAAAGTATTAAAAATATTGTGTAAAATTATCTTTAGGCCAAGTGTATAAGGTACATATGAAATATAAATGGTTTTCGTTTAAACTTGAGTCTTATCCTCAAGACACCTCATTATACATATGCAAATTTCCAAAATCCAAAATAATCCAAAGTCTGAAACACTTTTAGTTCCAACCATTTCAGATAAGGGATGCTCAACTGTCATAGCCATTAATGGGAAATGAAAAAAAGAGAAAACACATGTATGGTTATACTGAAGAATTCATAATCACATAGTTTACTTTAAAAAAAAAAAAAGCAGGCTCTAAAACAATTTTTCTTGTTTTTACCAAATATATACTAGATTTTAAAGTAAAATAACAACAAGAACAAAAAGAAACATTTCTTTGGTTACTACTCCACTAGCCAAGAGTGACTAAAAAGTTTCACAGTGGAGTATAAAACATTATATTAAAAAAAAACTTTCAGAATCTACTCGGCACTGAGATTTTGCTTTCTGTCAAATACACCAGAACTCCAAAAGGATCTGCCATCATACTTGAGAAAGCACCAGGAATAGAGGCACTATTTAATGGTAAGTAACTTCTAAGTCCTCTTACAACTTCAAGAAACCTAATAAGCTACTGTTCTAAGAAAGCATAGAACCAAGAAAGAAGTGGTGAGTATTTACAAAGAAAGAATTAATGTTCCCTATTCTTTTTCATGAGCCAGTAAAATAAAATTGCATTTTCTGTGGCAGAAACTTTATTTCCTTCCTAACAGTTCAAAGTACTACATAGGAAAATCTATTTAACATGGAAAGCAAGTAACCCTGGCAGGGGGCTGGGGACAAGCTGTATTTGGATTGTCTCATGCATTATTAAAAAATAAGACATAGAGTAAAAGAAAAACAGCTGCTTTAAGTCATACAGTATTTCAAATGCAGTCATACTGGCATAAGTTTTACCTTAATTTCTTTTATAAACTTTCATGGAGACAAGAACGATGTCTAGGATTTTAATAACCACAAAGTTAGACTATTATTTAGTTTGTTAAAATACAAGGTCATGGTTCTAAACAGGTTTATTCAATAGTGAGTCTGCCACTCAATAAATAATTTGCCCATATACAGCATATGTTTTTCTATATCTACATTATGACTAAACTCTGGCCATAAGCCACAAACAAAAATCGGGGATTAAATGCCACTTTAGTTTATTTATACTGGACAATTTCTAAGCCAATGGTTTATCTAGAAAAATAGACAGAGTGAGCTGCTAGTCCTCACAGCAGTAGCAAATCTTTTGTTCCTTCCTCCATTGTTTATACTTTCTTTAATCATCCCCTTCATAAATACTAGCTGGCTCCAAGATGAGATGTTTACTGAGTAGTAAACACTCCATTTGTTTTTGAGAACTGAATCAACAGAGGCATTATGAAATCTAGATTAAATGTAAAATTTATAAGGCACATTTTGTCTGAGAAATTCAATGCACTTTATAAAACACAACAATCCCCTTTAACAGTAAGCAGTGTAAGCTGCCATTTACTCAATGGAGAGCCATCTTGGGATGGGCCAAACCCAAGGGTAACTATTACAGTGAGAGTATGGACAATCTTTTCTCATCTTTGCATTGCAAGCCTCAAGCACTGACTGGCAGAGTAGAGCTAGGA